TAGTCTGCATCTTCTCCGCTAGATGGCAACCTCTGCCTGGACAAGAAATTTCCCGTGGATCCGTCACCTTTACATCCTCAGAGAACCTGCTCAACACTGGCAAAACTACACGTTGACCAAATGACCAAGCGAGAGATGGTTTTACACAAGAGAAAAGGGTGTGACTGTCCACTTTGGGGGAGATGGTGCAGCATGGTTGGGATCTGTTAAAAGATAAACTAAGGCATATTAAAACTTTTAAGAGTTTATTTGAGCAAAAAATCAACTCGAATTGGGCAGCCCAAAACTGGAAGCGCTCAGCTCCTAGGAGCCAGGTGAAAGACACGGAGGTGGTGCTGAAGCAAAGGAAGGAAAATATTTAATTGACTACAACTTCAAGCCTACTTGGCTAGTTGTGATTGGCTGTCCGTTTTGATTTTGTAACCCTGAGGCATTTTCAGGCACAGACTGTGGTTAGCTTACACAGGCCTCCACGCTTTGCAGCCTAATGGCCTCCCTCTTTACTCAGTTTACCAGATCTGACCTGTGTCCTAACCACAGGATCCTGAGCAGCCAGATTGGCCTATCTGCTCTCTCCCCAAAGTAACACAACTCCCCACACTTCCCACTCACTTCTCTCACTTCGTTTAGTCAACAAAGTCCTGAGCTCCTTCCACAGCAGAAAAGATGAGTCTCTCTCCACTATCTGGGAGCCTAAGTGGGATGGGGAGGGAGGTGGGGTGCAGGTTAAACTTGAATTCTTGTTTTGCACTTTCTGGCTCTATGACCTTGGGTAGTTTCTTCTAGTTGCAAATTACCACACACTCAGCAGCTTACGACAACACGGTTTTGTCATTTTACAGTTCTGCAGGCTGGAAATCTGACACAGCTCTCACTAGGCTCAAATCAGCATGTTGGCAGAGCTGTGTTCCTTTCTGAAGGCACATGGGGAACGTTCACTTGTGCTGCAGACTGAATGTTTGTGTCTCTGAAAACTCACATGCATATGGAACCTAATCCTAATGGGATGGTATTTAGAAGTAGGCCCTCTTGGTGGTGATTCGGTCATGAGGGTGGAGCCCTCCTGAATGGGATTAGTGCCCTTATAAAAGGAACTCCAGAGAGAGCCCTTGTCCCTTTTACCAGGTGAGGACACAGCCAGAAGATGGCTATCTGAGATCCACGAAGCAGGGCCTCACCAGACACCACATCTGCCAGGGCCTTGACCTTGGACTTCCCAGCCTTCGGAACTGTGAGAAATAAATTTCCATTGCTTCCAAGCCATGCAGTTTATGGTATTTTAAAAATATTTTATTGATTTTTTACAGAGAGAAGGATAGTGAGTTAGAAACATCGATGAGACAGGATCATCGATTAGCTGCCTCTTGCACTCCCCCTACTGGGGATGTGCCCGCAACCAAGATACATGCCCTTGACCAGAATCGAATCTGGGACCTTTCAGTTCACAGGCCGATGCTCTATCCACTGAGCCAAACAGGTTTCGGCTTTATGGTATTTTTTATAGCAGCCCCAACTGACTTAGAGAGTTTCCCGGTTTGTCTTTTCCAGCTTCTAGAGGCTGTTCACATTCCTTAGCTCATGGTCCCTTAGCACTATCCTTAAAGCAAACACTCTGAAGTCCTTCTATAATCACATCTCCCTCTGCCTCCCTTTTAAAGTACCTTGTGGTTATTTGGGCCTACCTGGATAATCCAGAATAATCCCCCTATTTTAAGGTCAGGGATTAACAACCATAATTCCACCAGAAATCTAGGTTTGCCTTTACCAGGTAACCTATTCACAGGTCGCAGAGATTAGGACATGGGCACCTTTGGGGGAGGCCATTACGCCACTTACCACAGACCTAGAGTAATTATATTAATTCTCAGAGACCATTTCTTTATGAAGTGGAGTTCCTCCAATAGGTGGAACAGAGATCAGAGATGGTGATCATATCGGTCATCTATTGCTATGTAACAAATCACCCCAAAACTTAGTGGCATAAAACAATATTCCCACAACCTTTATTTGGGTCAAATTAGTGAGCAGCATAGCTGAGTAGTGTAGAGTGTCTTTCATCCGGTTGTAAAGATATTGGCCCAGGCTCTAGTCATTTGGAAGATTGGCTCAGGCTGAAAGCTTTTAAGACGGCTCCCTCCCTCGGGAGCTGTTGGCTGGAGGCTTCAGTTCCTTGCATATCGACTCGTCCAAAGGGCTGCTTGAGTGTCCTCACAATGGGGCAGCTGGCTCCCCCTAGACAGAGTGATCCAAGAGAGCAAACCAAAAGCCACATGTCTTTTTTTTTTTTTTTTTTTTTTTTTTACTAAGTCGTACACACATATTACCCATTTAAATAATTTTTCAAAATAAATAAAAAGTACCCATAACAATACTTAGGTTGGTCTAATTCAGAAGTTTCCAAGCATAATCAGCAAAGTCCTTTCCTCAAATAAAGTTTTCCGGGGAATGACAATATACCCACCAGATACAAGGGCAAGTAGCTCCAACAGGCACGAGGCCAGGGGACCATCTATGCACCTCTCACTCCTCAGTTCACAAACCTCCGGATTCAACCTTTTATCTGAGCAGGAACTTCCTGACTTTTCAAAGCTGGAAATAAGAGCTTTTATGAGATTGGAAATGGTAACAAGACTACTCTCTCTTCCTTCCAAAGTCTTTTCTTTTCAGTGTCTCTTTATTAGGAAAACATTTAATTTTATAATTTTTTTTTCAGTCTGAAGTTACAAACCTTCAAAAGAAGAAAGGAAAGGTTAGTCATTTGGTTGAGTAGATATTCCCAACCTTTACTCACTATACCCTTAAAACTGTGTACCCAGAATGCTTTGCAACCCAAAAGCCTAAAACAAGTTGGGGGCGGGAGGGAGTGGGGAATAAGGGGGTAGAGACTTGTCCTGTCTTCTGCCCCTACCTTTCCCCTTCCTTATATATCTTCCCCCTCCTCCTCCCATCGCACTCAGGATCAGCCTCAGTAGCCGCTCTGACAGAGGGTCAGCCCCACCTCAGTGTGCTGTAGCACTTGCTATGCCCAGGCAGCCACCTACAATTTACAGCCAGTCAGGCTTGGGTTTAGATCCCAGACCTACCACGTAATCATTGGATTTGCACAAGTCACTTAACCTCTCTGAGCCTTGGTTTCTGCATCTGTAACTTGGGGACAGTGCCCTCTTCATTGCTGGGCTGCAATAAAGATGACACATGTAAACGCCCAGCACGGAGAAGGACCCCAATTAATGATCTCTTGCCAATAACGGCCTCCCCCCTTTTCCTGGCCTCTCCCAGGCTCCTGGAGAGATAGCAGGATTCTGGTTGACACCTTGCTTTCCAGAGTCTATGATTTTTATACTTTTCAAAATAATTTTTAAAAATTTGGTTATGCTCATTTTTTAAAAATTAACAAAAAGAAAAATTTTTCCCTACCATCCTACCATTGAGTTCCCAGTCAAGGGGGCTGTCCTGGGTACTCTGTCCCCCCCCATCCCCCCAGGGCTCTCTGCTCACCTCGTCTGCTGTGCAAATAAGGAGTTTTAATATGTTTTTCCTGAAGATCTTTCCTAGCACTTTGGTGGGCCTCTGGTACCCTGTGAGATAAATATATATATATTGATCTCTAACTCACGGTTCCTGCCACAGAGCTCCGAAATCCTTGTGGTATCCTAAGTGATAAGAGCTCTCGGAGCATCTTTTGCTCTAATATTTGGTCTTCGACCCTGGTTCCTGCCACAGAGCTGTAAATCCCTTGGAATTTCCTGGATGCTAGGAGTGTCTTTTGTTCCACTGAGGTGACTCTGGGTGGGCCCCTGGATTGGGGGGGGGGGGGGGCTGGTCACCAAGAAAGACCAAGCCATGATGAGCAGCTTAGAATATTCAGCTCCACCCGCTTCTCCCAGAGAGGGGCTGGAAATTGAGTTAATAATTGAGCACACCTACATGAGAAGGCCCCCATTAAAATCCCAATAGCACGGGGTGTGAAGACCTTTCAGCTTGGCGAACACAGGTGCGGGGAGAGTGTTGTACCTGGGGAGGACACGGAAGCTCCGAGCCCCTTCAACACGTATCTTGCCTTTCGTGTCTTTTCCATCTGGCTCTTCATCTGTCTCCTTTATCACCCTTTTGTAAGAATCTGGCAAACAGGAAGTGAACTGTTTTTCTGAGTCTTATGAGCCACTCTAGCAAATTAACCCTGAGGAGGGGGTAGTGAGAACCTCCAAGGGCAGCAGATGGGTCAGGACCACAAGTGGATCTGTTATTCGTGTCTGAAGGCAGGACAGTCTGGTGAGGCTGAGCCCTTACCTTGGAGGACCTAACACTTTCTCCAGGGAGGTAGTGTCAATTGAGTTAAATTGTAGGACGCCCAGTAGTGTCGGCAATGATGTGTGCTGTGTGTGTGGTTAGTGAGAAACCCAGGAGGGAAAGACTGGTTTCCCAATGCATACCCAGAGAAGAGGGGAGCCCCCCGAAGAGGGGAGCCCCCCCACCCCCCGCCACCTCCGGCAGCCCCATCAGTTTACAGCAGCCTAGGACTCTGGCTCCCAGGTCGCCCCGAGGGCGGGGGGGGGGGGGAGGGGCGGAGCGAGGGTGGGGCCTGTCTCCCAGCAGCAGCCATCCAGAACCAGCCTTTTGTTCCTCACCACTGGTCACCTGGTCCAGGGGCAGCAAGCATCCAGTCCACTGTTGTTGTTTTTTAAATGTTCTGGTTCCACAAAAATCTGTCTTCCTTAGAGACTTGGGCATGACACCCCATCCATAGGATAAAAGCGTTTGTCCTTTTGACACCGAGGACATACAAAATGACGAGAAACTACACACGCCCGGCGTTAGGCCAGCGCCCCACAGCAACTTCCCTATGTTGGAAGATGTCCAAGGAACAGCGGGCAGAGACCCTCGGCGGCCACAGGAAGGGGTAGGGTGCAGGGGTATTGTGACATGCTCCAGGGAAGGGCAGCTCTCCCCTTGGCCAACGGAGGCCCCGGGCTCAGAGATACAAGGGAGCCGGACCGGACATGGAGCCTGGGGCCCATTCCGCTGGTGCTGAGCAGGATGGGGAGGACGAGCCTGAGCCGCAGGCTCCGACCCAAGCCATCGAGGGCCACGGCCAGGTGCTGCTGATGGGCAATTTCTGGCCGCAGGAAGAGCGCTTCCTGACCCTGCAGGACATCCTGGAGCAGAGCCCGACCAACCGGCCCACCCAGGAGCCCTCGTCCACCAGAGCCACGTTCGGCCACAGCAGCTCCAGCGACTGCTCCTGGCGGCGGCGTCTCAAGCGCCCCAGCGACGGCTCCTCGGACGACACCGAAGGCCGGGCCGCCAAGTGCAAGCGCTCGGCCCAGAAGCAGCCCCAGGCTTCGGCCGGGACGCCCAGGAGCCGGGCGGCGGCGGAGGATGCAGCGTCCGGGCGCCAGGACCCCCGGCTGCCGCTGCCGCTGCCGCCGCCGCCGCGGGAGCCGGGCGCGCGGCTGCTGCTGGTGTTCTGCCGCGCGTCCGCGCTGCGCTCGCAGCTGCCGCGGCTGCAGCTGCTCCTGCGGCGGGTGCACGCTCGGCACCGCAGCCCGCCCGCCGCGCTGGTGGGCATCGTGATGCTGCCGCGGCGCGAGGAGGAGGCCGAGGCCCGCCGCCGCATGGAGAGCCTGCTTGGCAGCGCCTTCGGGCCGCACAGCCCGGCCGTGGAGGTGCACACCGCCGTGTTCAGCCCCAGCCGCCCCGAGGGCACCCTGGACATCCAGCGCGCCGCCGCCGCCGCCGCCGGAGCACGCGGAGGAGCACACGAGGCCCCCGCGCGGGGCTGCGTCACCGTCGTGGATCAAGAGACTCAGACAGAGGGTGAGGAGCCCGAAGGCGAGGGGTGGGAGCGCCCGGCGGCCGCCACCGGGACCCCGGGGGATTCGGGAGAAACTTCACTGCAGAGGGAGACCCTGTGTGGCTGGCTCCGTTGGTTTGGGGCGCCGTCCACTCCAACAAACACGGAGGGAGGCCTGTGCCTGGACCCTGCTGGTCCCAGTCCTGGAGACAGTTCCTTAACGGGGTGGCCCCTCCCCTGGCGCGTCCACTTACACCCTGTGGGGGAAGGTGAACTAGAGTCCTGTCCCCAGGGGTGCTCCCTGGGATAACTTTGGGTCACACGGGCTTGAATTCACTTGATTTGTTGTGTTACATTTCCCACACCCAGGCACCCGACCCCTTGCTCCCTTGCTCTCTACTGGGAATCAGCCCACGTAAAGCACAGATCTGGGGGGTTGCGGGCCCCAGACCCGCCCCCTCTTCTCTCCGCTTCCGCTTGTTCCTCGCTTGGTGGGCCCTTCAGTCTCCTCCTCCAAGGGAACCACAATTGCCATCAAAGCATGCCTCGTGGGAGGCAGGCGCTGTGCTGAGGATTTCGCACCTCGACTGCTCACAGCAGCCCTCTCGGGAAGGTGCTGTCTTAGAGGAGCTGCACAATTCTTGTTCACAGCCCCTGGGGCCCTCCCTCCGGCGGAATCCGGATCTGTGGCCGCAGGGGGTTACTCTGAGGGTCTGAGGGTCCAGGGCAGTGGGCTCTTAAGTGAGCACCAAGTGCCTTCTGTCTCCAGAAGCCCCTTGGGGCAGCAGAAAGTGCTCTGCGCAGGGCATCCAAAGCGAGGTTCCTCGAGGCTCTGCCACTCTCCCGCTGGAGAACAAAGCTAGTGGTCCCCGCGGCGAGCTGCTGCCCTCCTGACATAGGGGACTGAGGCCCGTTGGTGCCCGAGGTAACATCCAGTTCGAAGGTGTTAGCCTCGGGACAAATGTTGGCATGCTTGTCCTGGGTGCCCCAGATCCACCCCGAGGGCCAGAACCACTTAGGCTGATGATAGACTCATTCTTCTGACTCTCTCAGATGGTCCACAAGATTTTCCCATGGCTTCCATGCCTGGTCAGGAAAGCCCCTGACTATGGACTGTTCCAACTGTAATCTTCAGCCTAGACCAGAAAACCCAGACCACTTTTGAAAACTATCCCTTAAGAATGCAGTCTTTGAGGTGCCTTGTCCCCCATCATCCACACCCACCCTGCGGTCACCAGTTTCCTGCTTTCTTTGTCTGATTTCTACCTTGCCTCCAAGCAGCTTACATCAAGCCCTTTCTCTGGACTTTGGCCTTCTCGGTCTCCACAGTCTGGGCGTGTGGACTTTAAGAGAAGACAAGGGTAGAAGCCATTCTGACACCAGGCAGAATGTGATCCAAGATCTGGGCTCCGAGAGGGAGACATGGCTTCCAGCTGGAGTCTTGAGAAAGGCTTTATGAGCTGATGGGTCCACTTGAGAAGGATCTGCATGATGGGAAGAGAGAGGGGTGGGAAGGGCTTCCACAAACACAGGGAAGTGAGGCATGTTCACCAGACTTCTGGTGCTTGTGATTGGCTAGAGCGAGACGCGGGTAGCATCAACCTGGGACAGTGGGATATGACTGTGTGATAGAGGAATCAGACTTCAGGCTAGGAAATTGTGCTCCAGCCAGAAGGCAGAGGGCATGGGAGATGTTCCAGCAAAGAACTATGGCGGCGCCATTCTTCCTAGTCCTTCTAACCGGACCTATTACTCCACAAGTGCCCTCCCCTGTATCTTCGGGTCACCCTTCTTAAAGAACCTGCACTTATTTTCTCCACTGCCATAGAAAAACTCTCGCTCCTCCCAAAGCTTGCCCCTCTGTGTTTCTTCCATTCCTCTCCTGGGGAACCGAGGATCTGTTTTTTTTGCGTCTTTTTTTGGCCCCTTGGTGTGAAATGAAATGCTTCTTTCATTCCTAACAGGACATTCTTGCACCTATTTAATGAATTTAAACCAGTGGTTCTCAACCAGGGGCAATTTTCTGTGACACACACACACACACACACACACACACACTGACATTTGCCAGCGTCTGCAGTTTCATTTGGAAGGAGCAGTAGTTGCTACTAGCATCTCGCGGGCAGAGACCAGGGACACTGCTAAACTTTCTACAATGCACAGGACAGTCCCACAACAAAGACTTTTCTGGCCCAAATGTCAATAGGGCTGATTTAAGCCAGGTTGAGCCCTTGCCTGTGTAGCTCATAGCACAGGCCTGGGTGGCAAGCTCAATCCCCGGTAGGAGGCATGCAAAAGGCAACCGATTAATGTTTCTCTCTCCCTCTTTCTTCCTCGTATTTAAGAAAAAACTTAAAAACACACACATCAGGTTGAGGCCTTCAGTCAAAAGCCCATCAGTGCCTGAAAATCCAGTTTTACAGAGATAAATGTCTTAGGAGGTGTGACCTGTCTGCCAGATCCAGACAGGGGTCCTGACCGGGTTCCAGTCTCTCTGATTCTGAAGACTTCCCCGAGGGAGCCATTGCTCTTGACTTCAGGGATTTACCACCTTCTTTCTTGTGGCCTCGTTGGCTCCCTGAATCTCCTCACACTCAGGCTCAAGCAAATTCAGCCCAACTTTATTGATCTGTGCTTCCCTTGACTTCTCTTCTTTCATGCCTTTTTCCCCTTCAATCCTTTCACTCAAGGGTTGACTTTAAGGCCTGTATAATCACCTGACTCCCTGTTGCCTTTTGGGGTCAGGAAAAGAGAGATTTCTGAACGGGAATTTAGCCCCTTCAATGCCCCTCCACTGTGGTAGTTGAACCTTGAACCTCCGTTCTCCCCTCTGCAGAAAGAGAATCAGCAAGGTCTTTTCAGATTCTAGAATCTCTAAAATATTTCCCATCATTTCACAGTTCATCTTGGACCTGGCCTTGAGTGGGGATTCCTCCTCCATAGGTCTACTCTAAGCCTTCTCCTGGGGCAAGAGTGTCACCCCAGACTCAAGGGGTTGACAGTAAACTACTCACCACCTCATGATGCATCAATGGCAGAAGTAGAGTCTTCTAATGTGAACACATTTTCTGTTGGAGTCAACATGTGAAGCCTAAGGTTGTCCTTTTCTTAAATGTGTTTGTTTGTTTTTTCTTCTCTCCCATCCTAAAAGGAAAATCACATTTTTAACTTTGAGAAAGATTCATAGTCTCCTAATTGACTCCATGAGTTTGGGGTTTGAAACGTAGCCTATTGTGGCTGGCGTAATGAGTTTAAGAAAGATGTGGTTTTCCAAACTGCTGTTACGTTTATAGGGGAAATTCTTTGCCAAATGAAAGGGTTCTTTGCCAAAGTTGGATGACACCGCCCCTCCCCCAAGACCCTTCCCACATTAGGGGAAGGCAGGTTTTGGAAGAAGGGGGAAGCTGCAGGTTTTGGAAGAAGGGGGAAAATAATCTGGGGGAATAGCTGAGATGTTAGGAGGCTGTGGGCTTTCCAGGGACCCCCACATCTTCAGTAACCTCACCTAAAACACAGTATGCCTGGAGAAGTCGTTTGGGGGGTTTGGGTTTTGGTTTTCAGTTTTTTGTTATGTGGAAACCAGTGACAGAGTTGAGCATCAGAGCCAGGGGTTCTTAGAGTGAATGGATAGCTCTAAGGGGACCCGGGACACACCAGCAGAGAGGTGCCTGATGGAGGCCCTCCAAGTCGCAGAATCGTAGGAATCCAGGTTGTCACAGGCCCCATGGCCAGGCTTAACCCGGGTTCTTGAGGGGTCTGACACCTGCCCTCTGCCCATCCCAGTAGCTAAGGAAGAGGGAGAACAGCAGGCTAGGCAGAGAAGACTGTCCCCAGGGCACTGCCATAGGAGCCACCCTGGTGTTTGTGACCTCACAGGAGGAGTGTGGGTGACCTTTCTTTGTGGTGCCTGGGTCCAGCCCAAGGCCAGAGTGTTCCCCCAGGGCAGGGCCTCCCTCCAGCAGGGAGCCGGAAGACTAGGCAGCTCCATGTAGGGCCACATTTAGGTAAGGAAGACCCACCATGAAGAAGGGCAAAAAGAAGAAGGCAGAGTCCAAACGCCGTGGCTCCAACTCACGGCACTGTAGCTCTGACTCCACCCCGCATCAGTCCAGCGTGGAGTCCTCCCCGCAGCAGAACAGTTTATCATGCACCCCACCGCAGCAATGGAGCTCTGAGTTCACCCCCCAGCAGCCCTGCCCAGAGTCCACCCCACAGCAAGCCACCTCTGGGTCCAACCCACAGCAGCAGCAACAGAGCTCTGAGTTCACCCCCCAGCAGCACGCTTCAGGGTCCACCCCACGGCAGCCCAGTTTGGGCTCCATCGTAGAGAGGCCCGTGATCCGGGCCCTCCCAGCTCCCCAAGTCACTCAGGACACTTGCACAAAAATATCCAATGGATCCAAGAAAGCAGGTGAGCAGATTTCTAGCTTATCAGTACTAGCCTTTCTGCTGCTGAATCCTGGGTTACCCCAGAAGCTGTTCTTATTGGGTAGGGATGCGTGGTTAACGTGTATTCTGGAACTGTGCTGTGGAGAGTGAGGATTTGGGGTTTTGTTTTTACCCAAGAGACCAGGATTCCTGGGTGTTGCGATTTCTCACTATGTTGAGTCTCACTGAAGAAGGCAGCCCGCATCCATATTAACTTTTCACTTGGCTCAGTGGTCATATGTGCTCATTGGGAATCAGGGTGCGTGTAGCTGCTCAACTATAAAACCTGAGGATGCATTGATATAATGAAATTTAGGAGTGGTCATACTGCTTCACTGTCCTCGTCAGACAATCTCCATTTGCTATAAAAGATACCTACACTCTAACCCAAAGAGGAAAGTCCAAGCTGATGGTGATTGAGAGAAGAAGGGGGAGGCGAGGGCCACTTGGTGTTTGAGATTTGGTGGAAGGGTTTGGAGGAAACCTGTCAAGTGGAAGATAAGAATAGACTTTTTCCATGTTGTCCTGAGATGTTTGACTAAGGACCTATGGGTAAGATTTCCAGTAAAATGCAGGCCGACAAATGATTTTTAAATAACTGTGTCCCAGATATTGCATGGGCATCATGTGTTGTTTTTACTTGCTAAATCTGGCAACCTTACCTATGGAAGACAGAGGTGGATTTCTCTCCTCAACATTAAAAAACTCTAACAATTATCTCTCTCTGACAAAGGAATGACCGTCTAGGAAAAGTGGCCCCCCATCTTCTTGTTAGCCAGAGTCTGAATGAACATTGGATTGTGTAGAGGAAATTCAAGTGGAGTTCAGGGGGTGGACTGGTTAAAACTACTACTAATAATAATGGTAATAGCTAACCAACGGTGTACCCAGCATTCAGCTCAGCCAACTGTGTTAATTTTCTCATTTAACAACTCTTAAAGAACATACTAGCATCATCTCCATGTTATAGATGGGAAATTGAGGCCCAATGAAATCAAGCAATTCACTCTCAAGGAGACACTAGAAGCACTGAGGGGAGAACCACAGCCTCGTCTGACTCCAGAATTCTCGCTCTTAACTGCAGCCCTAATTTTCTGATCCTCTGAAGTCTGGTGGCCTCCCTTGGAGGAAGCATACCCTTCTCTGAGCTTCTCCTGGATCCATGAGCCAAAGCCTAAAGCTCTGTGTTCCTGACCAGGCCACACTCCCCAGGCCACAGCATATCCCTCTGAGATCATGTGGACATAAATAAGAGGAATGTGTATACCCAAGGTATCTCTGTGACATATTTCTGAGGCTAGGAATCAATCCATTCTTAACATCTGAAATGGTTTTGAGAGCTACACTACATGTTGTAAATGTTATGATCATCACCCGCTGAACTAAACATTTCTGAATTGTGGCCTTTAGAACGGATATCTGTAGAATGCAGTTTTACATTCCCAAATCTTTTCATGAGTACATGTGACTCACCCCATGAGGAATTCTGCTTATTGCTCCAAAGTATTGTAAAAGAAACTGCATTTCATTAAATGGGAAACCTAGTGCAATGAATTGCATTTAGATAAATACAAATCTGAGACTCTCATCTATCCACAATTTCATGTGCTGCTACTGGCCAATTTATCCAGGCACTGGTGGTGGCTCTTCAGTGCTTACAATGACCACCTACTCTCCTTCTATCAAAGACATTTTCTCCCTTTGAGCCAGAATAGGAAGGAATGTTGGCAATAAGGGATGAGGGCCTTTACATGAAAGATGCCATATTCTAAAATCCAAATTTTTTATGTGCAGAAAATATTATAGTTCAATAAAAGATAAATCTTCCACTAGGATGACTATAATAAAAAAAAATGGACAATGACAAGTGTTGATGAGGCTATGGAGAAGTCAGAAGCATCACACTCTGCTGAAGGGAATGTAAAATGGTGCTGCTGTGATGGAAAAGTCTGGCAGTTCCTTGAAGAGTTAACCACGAAGTTACCTTAAGATTCAGCAATCCTGCCGAAACTGGTTTGGCTCAATGGGTGGAGCCTTGGCCTGCGAACTGAAGGGTCCCAGGTTCAATCCTGGCCATGGATATATGCCCAGGTTGTGGGCTCAATCTCCAGTAATGGGGCAGGCAGCCAATCAATGATTCTCTCTCATCATTGATGTTTCTATCTCTCCCTCGCTCTTCCTCTCTGAAATCAATAAGGAAATATATATATATTCTTAAAAAGATTCAGAATCCCCACAAGAGAATTAAAAAGTATATATTCTACCACTTCAAAGTTAATGGAAAATTAAGCCTTCAGCTCCTAGTCAATTTTTTAATATTATTTTGTTGGTTGTAACTGGGATTCTTAGAGTTTCCCACACACACAAAAATAAATTCCTGGTTTACAGTGTAAAAACAAAACATATGTTCTACAGAAAACTTGTACATGAATGTTCACAGCAGCATTACTCACAATAGCCAAAAAAAAGACAATTTAATGTCCACCAACTAACAAATGGATAAACAGCAGGTGATACAGATGTGCTATGAAATACTATTTGACAATAAAAAGAGATGATATGCTGATACATGCTGCAACATGGATGGACATCAAAAACATTAGGCCAAGTAAAAGAAGCCAGTCCATAAGAAAGCCCACATGTATGCTTCCATTTCTGAAATGTCCAGAATAGGCAAATCTATGGCCAGAACCTGGGAAGAGTGGGGAACAGGCAGTGGCTGCTAATGGGTCCGGAGTTTCTTAAGTGGGAAAAGAAAATAGTCTGGAATGAGGTAGCGATGGTTGTTTATATTCTGAAAACCCCTGACCACGTTAAAGGGGTGAATTTTATGGTATGGGAATATAAGTGCACAAAAAAAAAATTTTAAATTAAAAACAGAAGAAAGATAACATCTTGCCTTTAGAATCTCTTCCTTCTCGGGTCCAGAAAAAGTATCCATCACGGGGAGATCTAAGCAGGAAGTGTGCTGCGTTTTCCAAGGTTGACCACTGTCTTCACGGAGCTTTGGTTGGAAGAACCCACAGTTCCATCAGGAAGCTGGGACAAAGGTGGCCGCAAGAGGAAGAAATGAGGCAGAGGTCATTTTAAACAGCAGAGGGCACCATCTCGGAGTTCCGCGAGGATCTACCGCACACGGGGGACAGAAATGGAGATGAGTTTGGGAAAGTATCCCAAGGACTGTAAACTGGAGCAGTGGCTGCCTTCTGGGATGAACCAGGGAGCCCCCCAGAAATGGGATGTGGCAGCTCCAGGTGCAGGAATTGAGTGCCGCCTGCCGTCTGCTGCCACCACTTCCTAAGAATTCCGTGGCAAGAGTCCTGAATCAAGAAATCCTGAATTGAGGCCCACTTCTCCAATCTATGTACTCTCAGTTTGCGCCTCAGTTTCCTCATTTGTAAACCGAGAATAACACTATTCCACTTGGATAATTAAATGGGATGGATAATGATGTGAAGCGTGGAGCACCGTTGCTCATTATTTACTCCCAGGTAGCAGCAGTCTGAAATGCAATCCGTTTCCCCACACAGTTTGTTTCTGTGTCTTTGAGGCTCTCCCCCAACCCCCTCCTGCAGGCTGGTGGGTCCCTTATCCTTCTCTTTTTCTGTCCACCCAGGGCCTCCGACTCAGGCGAGCCCCTTCTGTTCCTGTACCACTTGCCCCGGCAGCTCTGCTTGCTGGCGTCGTCTGGGCCTGTGCCACAGCCGCATCTTCGATGTCCTTCTGCCTCAGGCCTGGCTGACCGTGCCAGGCAGAGGATTCCCAAGCCTCCTCACTTTCTACAGGTTCTGGAGATCATGGAGGGCTGGGCCCTCAGGTCGTACAGTTCCCAAGGGCCAGGCTCTCCCCCAGATCGTTTTGTAGTCTTGTGTTATTCCGCCTGGGAAGCCTAGGCCAAAGGAACGCCTCCCCCTCCCAGTGGCCACAGCCTAAGGTTTGGCACCGGCCCTTTCTGAGCAGACCCATCTCCCCAGGGCATCCCACCTGCACAGAGAGGTGCCGATTTTCTTCCTTCCCAAGAATTGCTTCTTCGAGGGCTTCATTTCTCTTTCCCCCAAAGGCACCCTCCTTTCTCAGAGCTCACCGCCTCACAGCCCTTCAGAAATGCCTTGTCACTCAGAGCGTTGGAATGAAATGCTCTGTCAGGCCATCGGCCTCTTCTGTGGCCCACGCCACAGCTGAGCGCTTTAGGTTCTTTACCTGCATGTGAATTTCCCCTGGAGTGGAGTCACAGATACTGAGTGTAACCCACGTGCCCCCTGGGTAATAGCGAGACCTCCACCCCGTGCAGAGGGTCTCGGGCTATTTCTACAACCCCAACAGGGAACAATGCCCCAAGGTTGGTCTGTCCATGGCGGAGCAGCCCCCCACCCACAGCAGCATCTGAAGTTCTGCCCTTCTTTGCCTCTTCCTAAATACCACCGGGTGGAACCTTTTCCAGTGGTGCCAGGGCTAGGGAAGGGGTTCCTCCCATCCCCAGCTCTGGGTCCAAAGCAGCTCGGCCTGTACCCAGGGTCTCACAAGCGTCCACGGAAGAGGTCTTCCACCTGACAATCTGATACCCCTGACCTAGGAACAGAGCCCACCCCCCGCCTACCTTCCCCCTGCTCCTCTTCCCAGCCCCTCCCCCACCAGATCCCCCTCTCCTGTCCACCCTTGAAACAAACCTATGAAGAAAACAGATACCCAGGTGTGTTGGAAGAGCATGCCTAGAGCTAAAAACACTCTATAACCTGGTAAGTCCCTATCAAGGAAGGGGCTCATTATTATTAACTGTCTTCCAACACACTTAATACTTCTGTCCAACTGGTGCCACGTTGTGCCATGGGTTCATATGTCTTTAATTTTTTTTAAGTAATTTTTTTGTTGTTGAAAGTATTACATATATCTCCTCCCCCCCCCTCCCCATTGGTCCCCTCTGGCCTGTCCCAGTCCCTGCCCCCTCTGCCTTCCGCTCCGCGCACCCCCCCCCCCCCCCGCAAGGTCTTCAGCACTCTATTGCCTGTGTCCATGAGTTATGTATGCATATACGCATACAAGGTCTTTGGTTGATTACCTCCCATCCACCCATCCTCCCCCACCTTCTCAAATCACTTTAAAACCAATAAGTAGGAAAAATTAATTTGCACAGGAATCTAGGTACTAGGAGGGAAACTAGAACAGGGAATTTTACCCTTAAAAATTGTGCAGCCTGCACGGTAAGCTAAGACACATCCATTTGAAAAACTAAAGTGTAAGCCAGGTGTTCTGTGTCCCATAGGAGATGTTCAAAGAGCTTCAGGAAAAGTGTTCACTCCTAACCTGGAGTCCAGGCAGACTGCCCAGCATCAATCACATCTGAGCTGAGTCTAAAAGGACCTTAGGATCTTCTATGACTTATTATAAAGGGAGAGCACTGTAGATGGAGGAAAAGGCGAAAGCAAGCCTCAGAATTAGGGAAGTGAGGGGCAAGAGGCAGGGATCCAGCTTGGTCAGGGTTAAGACATATTCTGTTCAAATGTTTAGCACCTTCTTCCGTAACCATTCCATTTCTCAGAGGAGTGGAATGTTGGCTCTTGACTTGAAATGCACACTCATGTTAAATAAGAGCCACTAGTTGAATAGGATTTTTACCCAAACGATACTGCATTTGGTGAAAGCCTTCCTCACAATTAGTATCATACTCATATATTTTCCTTGCCTTCGTGGTGGGTGTGATATGTGTTTCCTCAGGTGTAATATGTGTCCCCCAAATGGAGCTATCAAGTAGAACCTCCTTCACAGGGTTGTCTTGAGGTTTGAGGAGACTTTGAGGTTGGAGACCTGTTTAGCCCAGGGCTTGGCACGTGAGGGTCTGGACCACCTTTGTAGCTTGGCTCTCTGAATGCCCCGGGGAGCTGGTGTCCTGGGCAGGTCTACATGTCCTGGGGTCCTGGGATAGGTTTTATTGGAAGGAGTGGAAGAGTCATGTCCCCTTGAGAGGAGGGTGGATAGGGGCAGTTGGGTATTCCTGCAATCCTGAGGGAACCCCACAATCTTCCCTTTCCCATAAAAAGGCACTAAAGCCCAACTTCCCCCAACCTATGGGCTTTCTGCTTTGCTTTGCAGAGGACCGGCAAGGAAGCACACCAGTCATCGTAATTCCCGTGCTCCAGGTTCTCGGGACTGCAGCTGTGGCTCTGGGGGCTCTAGCAACTGCCTACTGCGTCATTGAACTCCTGTGAACAAACCCCCAGGCTCGCGGTCCAGCAGGTGTGTGGACCCCCTCAGTGCCCACTGCACTTTGCAGAAGTGGTCCTCAGGCCCCCTGATGGCCAGCCTTCCTCGCAGGGCTGGTGGGGTTTCTGTCCCTTCTCTGAAGTGAGAAGGTTGTTACCGGTAGACCACGCCCCCCCCCCAGCTTCTCGTGTGGACTGAGTCCTTCCTGGGCTCAGGGTGGCCTGGCATGGCTCTCTCCAGCAGTCCTGCCAATGTTAGATCCATTATTGGGATTGTCAAGACCGAGTTCCCCAAACTCTTACTGACCTGGGTAGTTTCCCTAGTCACAGAGAGCAGACAGGAGGAGGTGAGGGCAGAGGCTCTTGCCCATCTTGGGGCCTTTCCTTGGAACTTTCTTCCTGCCTAGAAAGCTTTCTCTCTTTCCCAACATTTCAAGTCCTACCTATTCTCCATGGCCTAGCCCTAGTTCTTCCATAATGCCTTCCTCCCGCACTGCACCTCCAGAGACTTCTCCCTCCTGGTTAATCACGGTCTTCTCCAGCCTGGTCCATGCTGTGTTGTGGAGGGTCATTGCGCATGTTCGTGACCTATCTCTACAAGGGTACTGCGAGATCCTTGAGAGCACGCCGCACACAGCATCTTCAATCCTCCCCTCTTCTAGGCTGGGCTTCCTAGAAGCAGAGCCTGAGTCAGGGATGCGAGAACACAGGATTTATTGAGAGAGAGAAAGAGAGAGAGGGAGGCAAGAGAGATCAAAGGAAGGAACAGAGCAAGGACCATGTCAGCTGAAGTCCAGCCTGGTCCTACGGGGGCTGTCAAGCATGAATTACACCATAGACCTGGCTCACCTTGAAGCAAGAGCAGGCTTTTTGTGCCCCTTTGTCTTTCCGCCATTGGCAATAGGGGTGAGGGTGGGGAGTTAAATCTTTGTGGAGAAGAGCTCCCATTTGGCTGAGGACAAGCCTCTGGGGAAAGAGGCAGCTCTGAGTCCTTAGCAGCCAACATTCACAACTCACAGGAGCTAAATAAAGAATGCACCAGCCCAGAAAGGGGAGCACCCACATTGTCCCCATTGTCAAGTCCACCCACAGTGAATGCCTCATAAGTGATGGGGGGGGGGACAATAAGGGGATAATGGCAGCCTTTCAACCACTCCTACGTAGGGCCCACAGTGGAGCAGATGCTCAGAGTACCTCAAAAGACCAACCCAGAAAATAAACTTCAGCGAGAGCTCAGCATCTGCTCCCAGGTTCTGCTGCCTGATCAAGGGGCATATTCATGGGAGAGAAGAAGCACCTTAAGCTTCACGAAACACACAGCAGCTGGGAGCCTCAGTTTCCTCAGCTCTAAATAAGAAAAGCCGCTGTGCCCTGCTCTTGAGATTTCCAGGAGTATGAGAAAAGATGCTTAGAGTGAGCTGGCCAGCTCTAGGATGAAGGTACTGTGGTTGGAAAAACACTGGCTTTGGAGACAGAGCTGTAGGTTCCATCAGAACTAGGCTACCTGGTAGCTGGATGTTAGGGGCCTCGCAACTTAACTTCTGTGAGTCAGTGTCATCTCTGAAGGGGGAGAAGAATGAGTACCTCCAGGGCAATGGTGGTGAGGATTAAATGAAGGGATGTGCAGGTGTGCAGGGCCTGGTCACAAGAGATGGGTGGATGGTGGCCAGTGACCATGTGAGGACTGCACTTGAGCTAAAGTGCTTTGCTCTAGAGCAAGCATGTCAAACTCTCGGCCAGTGGGCCGCATGGGCCCACAATGAGTATTTTTGCTGCCCAGCCAAAATAATGGTGTGAGCAGTTATTTACAATTATGAAAGGAAATAAGTCTCCTTTCAGATCCAGAACTACTGGCATTCACCTTGGGTCAGTTTTGAAACTAATCACTGCGAACAAGATTTCCCCCAAAGTAGGGAAGATAGTAGCAGAGAAGAGGTGCCAAGTATTTCAGGTAGAAAACATTAATTTTATCATCGCTCTTGTTCTTTTTTATATACTACAATTTTCTAAATAAACCTACATTTCTATGAAAATTGAAGCTTTTGGATTTTGTTGTGGCTCACATAAACTTAACCTTGTTTATTTGGCCCATGTTAGCCTTTGAGTTTGGCAAGCTTGTTTTAGAGTCTCCTTATAGCAGAGCCCACCGGTGTGAGTTCCGGTAGGGGTGAAGGGGCAGGCAGGCTTGGGTCATATTCTCCTTCAAGGTTCAGTATTGTATTCTGGGGCAGGTTCCAGAACTAGGAATTGGAAGGTTTCCAAATGCCAGAAAGCATTTTAAGAGTGATCTGATAAGTGGATTATGAATTTACTTGGTGAAAATTTCAGAAAACCAAATTCAGAATGGCAATAAGGAGACTGTCTCACCTAGCTATGGAACAGCTGGGAACATTCAGGGCTCCCTAAAGTCAGCAGTGTCGTCAGAAAGCCGGGAAGGGACTTTTCCAGCTTTCGTCTCTGACACCCTCCACAGAGGGCAGGCTAGTCCCTCCGGTGGGCAGGCGGCTGGAGAAGCTTCCAGAATCACAGCCTCATATCTCGACAGCCAGAAACAGGGAAAAGGTTACCTCCTCCTTATGTCTCTTTCTTTAAGATAGATAGATAGATAGATAGATAGATAGATAGATAGATAGATATTTGTTTATTTATTTCCTTAACCAAGGATATGTTTTTATTGATTGGGGGGGGCAAACAAATTTTTAAAAAACAGCAGTGTGAGAGAAAAACATTGATCAGTTGCCTCCCATACACACCCCAATGGAAGAACAAACTCACAACCTAGGTATGTGCCCTGACAGGGAATCAAACCTACAACCTGGGTGATGCTCCAACTAACCAAGCCACCCAGCCAGAGTCTTGTGTCTCTTCCTGAGTTAAGAAACTCTTTTCAGGAGACCCTTTCCTCAGCATACTTGCCCTCTCATTGGGGTGACATGCCCCTGAATTGTGTTTCATGCCCCTTCTTAAGCAAATTAATAGGGACCGAATTGTCCTGGCAGGATTAGATCCAATCCCAGTCTGTTCCCCTGCCTGGGGCAGGGATTGCTTCTGTCCAGGACAAGGCTTGGCAAAGCAGCCAAATTATATGGAATCTCTACCAGGAAATAAACGAGAGTGGATTGGGAACAGGCCAGAGTGTTTTAAAAGGTGGTATGGTAGCTAGTGAGAGATGAACCTCAGTGCCCAGAGCTGTTGGCTTAGAGGCTGGAGATCTGTTGGCTTAGCCACTGAAAACCACCCTGAGGGCAGGAGAGTCAGTGTGTGGGGGAGTGGGAACAGACCCTCAGGAAGGGAAACAGGCAGTTTGGTGTCCTTCTCAGTCCAGACAATGAAACACCAGCTGATGACAGTGGCAATGTCTACTCTCTGGAAAAAGATATTTCTAGAATTTTATTTCCTAAAGTTTGGTGTACCTCTCTCTCAGCATCTCACCAGTGAAGGATGAGGCACTAAAGCAAGAGGCTGCTTCCCATCTCTCTCTGGGCACTGCTGCTCGTAGTAAAAATCCCACTATGGGCTAGCTTTTGGGGAGCGAGGCTTCCTCTTAGCTGCTGGGGGACCTGGGGTGGAAGGAGGAAATGGAAAGTGCCAGCACCACTAAGTCATGAAAGGGAGAGGGAGAGGGGGAGGGGGAGGGGGAAGGGGAGGGGGAGGGGGAGGGGGAGGGGAGGGGGAGGGGAGGGGAGGGAAAGGGAGAGGGAAAGGGAGAGGGAGAGGGAGAAGAGCATGCCTGGTAGTTTGCATAAGCACCTGGTACTTTGCATAAACTCGTTAGAGCCTGAAGGGAAAAACAAGTCTGCTGTGGCTGTGTTTGGACAAAAGGAAGAGTGGATGCAGAAATGGAAGGAATTAGAATCCTAAATAATTTCTTTTCCACAGGAGGACCTTTGCTGTGAACTCTCATGGATGAGGCTGTAACGCTGGAGCGCCACCAGCGTTCTGGTGTCATGAAGTCCTGTGTAAGCTAATGGCTCTGTTCTTGTTTTTCTTACAGATCCAGTTTCCACCAGGGATCTCCCTTGTCACCAAAATAGAACAATAAAAAAAAAAAATTCTGTTTCTTGATTGTGTTCTACTCAAGTCACAAAAGCTGGACTTGGTAGGGAGGTGAGCGGGGTGTGGAATGGGCGAGGGAGGGAGATGTGACTTTCTGAGCCCTAGATAAACCAGGTGGGATCTTGCTGTTCCTGTTGGGGGCCACAGACCCAAGTGGAGGTAATTTTTTCTACACACTCACAGAACAATTCATCTCAGATTCTCCATTTTAAAATCAGGAGTTACACTAGTCAATTCAGTACCTACCATAACTAGTCAACTCCACGTCCGGCCAGTGGTAATCCAGTTAGTGGCAGCAGAAGGAATTCGCTGGCTCCTTTCCAGGCCCGCACCTGTGCCTGGGACACTCCACCTCTTCAGTCAGCTTCACCAGTGAGGGGGGCGCAGGGGCAGGCGAGGCGGGGCCTGAAGCCCGTGGTCCCTCCTGGTGACTTCACTGCACTCAGCCAGAGCCTGGTTCCTGAGGCGCTGAGGCAGAGGTCTTAGTTCTGGGGGATCCAAGGAAACACCAATAGGGGAGAGGCTGTGAGACGGGAGGAGGTGCTTAGTCGGCTGGGGCAATCTGGGAAACAGAACACACCTCAGAGACATTCCACCCAAAGGGGATGGTTTACATGCCCATCCTGTCAGTCATCCATTAGGGCTGCTGGGAGGGAGGCAATGAATTTCCCTGAACTCTTGGCCACTCTAGAGAGGAAGACTCCAGGCACAGAAATGCAGATGGTGGGTGTCAGAGGTCCAGCAGTAAAGGCCAGGGATGTGAGAGGGCATGTGTGTGTGTTTGGGGATACAGGTGGCAGGAGGGGGAGAGGGGGGCAGCCCTGAACTCAAGGAAGGGAGTGCACAGAGCCATGTGCATGTGACCTGCTGCGCCTCTGACAGCTGCTCAGGCTAGAACCAGGACAACCCTTGGGGAGGAAGGAGCAATAGCACAGCTATG